CTGTGATTTCCAGGAAGTTCACAAACTGATTGTTGTTTCTCTATCAATTTCAAGAAACATCACATAGCTTTAAAGAATACCTGTGGCCAAATATGTGCTAAACGAATTGTTTAAAAGGTGGGTTGGGAAGGTGTTAAATTCATTCAGATTTTATGATAATCTTGTCATAATGTGAAAAATAATAAACAAACTACTGGTACTTTGCTTAAGCAGAAAACATGCTGTAATTTAGATGTTTTTGCAACTCCCTGTAACTCTTAACAGATAAGTAAAAGCTTTTCACTAAAGTGTTAAATTTGGGTGCATTACTTAATTTATTTTGTAGGCCTTTTGTAGTTCCCCAGGAAACAGGTTTCTTGGCTAGGAGATGATACTCTTACCAGCTGAGGTGGAAACCTCCTTCTTGCTTTTGCGTACATCTTCCATGCTGTGGGAGTAGAAGTCTGTCTCAGAGTCAGACTTGGAGGCATCTCCCTTTCACACAAATGACAAAACCAGAATTAGAGGGTGCAGAATTCAGACAGGTCAAGGCAGAGAGATGGGGGGAGCAGGTAAGTTAGCTTTCCTGTATCCTCCATGTCCACTGTTTAGGTTTTCTTGTAACAAACAGGAGAAGGGGCCTAGCAGTCCCAGTATCCCCAGGCACAGTGTAACATGCAGGAATAGTCTAGGTCTATTGTCTTACACCGCACTAAGGCATTCACAGCAATAGGAACAATGCAGCAAACATCAGAGTATCGCTGCATTGCTGAATGGTATCAGCAGAGACCTAATGCAATGCAAGTCAAGGTCAAAGATCTTAATTTCCATAATCCCACAGTATTGTCTATCATGTATGTATCATTACATACATAGTTAAGAAAATTAGTTGTAACTTTGTCTGACTGTATCGGTTAAGAAATATGGTTAATGAAATAATTTGATCAGCCTCAAAGCAGGAACGTACAGATGAATAATTTGAATAATCATCACATACGTTATGTGGATATTGTAGTGGTTTGCCTTTATAATGCACACTCTGAAGCACATGCTATTTTGCCAAATCTTCTTTGCTTTCATATATTTTTGCTGTCAGGTTCAGAATCAGAAGGGCATTTAGGAGCAAATGTACAGTCAGGCAGTTATCAGGCTTGTTATCAGTGCACACAGACAGTTGTATCTTTTTCATTGACTTCTTTAATTTGTTTATCTACATCATCTTACAATCCAAGACGAGTGCAGATTATAGAAGACAAAACAATATTTCAGTGTGGTGTAATACAATTCATCACCTCCGTGTAACGTTTGACAGAATCACACCACTTTAGTCTTTGTATTGTCGCTTTGCTTTTTATTGTCTCCACTTAAGAGGGCAAAGTAACAGAATGAGAAGGACATACAGTACTACCACTGTATGTCTTAGTTATGCTCAGAAATTACTCGCTTCTCAAACCATTGTGGATTTAAGCTTACTTGTTATATTAAAAAGGAAAAAATATAGGGTAGTAATTAGTTAGTCACGCAATTAAGAAACTCATGAATATCAAAATGGAGATATCTAGTGGCACCAGCATTTAGATAATTTAAAAGAAATTTTAGAAGACTGTCAATAAAAATGACAGTATTGAAATGTGACAATTTGTTAATAATGCTGACGCCGGAGCTGTATAAATACTAGACTCGGTGACTGCAGTTCTGACAAACATTCTGATTTTGGAGTGATGCAACCCTGTCAGGTTTGTCACCCCAAGTCGTGAGTGGTGCAATGATGCTTGTTTTCTTTCCTATTCATGGGACAAAAACACAATAAAAAACTCAGTTATCAACTTGAATATTGGGATACTAATCTATAAAGAGTGGATAAATGAGAATCATTGCACCATCAAAACAAATAAAAAACTATATAGTACATACTTTACATAAAACAGAACACATACAGTTCTCATTCTTAGGGAAAAACACAACAGCAAAGCAAAATAACCACACCAATAGAATAATACTGTAATAAACAAGCTTTCATACTCAAACTAACAAGAAGAGCTTCCCCAGAGCAGCTGTGATAGGATGAACCTAATAGAGCAACATTACAAAGCATTATGGGTACCAGCACCCCTCTCCCCTCACTGACTGGTAAGCCAATCAGAGCAGAGGATCTGCTTTCTCCAGCTTTTACTCACAGCATGCCCAGAACTCTGCCATCGCCCCTGTTCAAATTCCTTCACTGATGCAGGCAGAAGGTTACCACTGTCAGGCCAAAGGTTGGCTACCTGTGTCCTTACTCCCAGTTTGCCTTTCTGAGCAGAAAAGGGGGTTCAATTATGAGAGAATATCCTAGTTAATTGAAGAATTCATCCAAATAGAATACAGCCTATTCTCAAAAAGTAATAGGATGTTTGCTTGCCAGTGCAGCGTTTTATTTGAAATCCAAACAGTTGATTTCTTTAGGCCAAATGAACAGGAAACATATAAAAAACAGAAAAGAACTCTCAATAAACCAGTAAAATCAAAGACCTGAAGAGGAAAGGCATCTGGATAAGGAGAAGACAACCCTTAATTTGAGTAACTCATCATGTAACATTAATTACACAAAGGTGACACAGTAGTTTTCACAAACAGACTTTTTTCCAAGTCCCTTCGAAATTTGAACATATACAGTACAGTACATAAACTTTCAGGTTGTGACTAGGGTCTTAGAGCCCACTTCTTGACATTAGAAACACAACAGCAACTATCAAAAGTTCTGAAAGGTCAAATCTAAAGAGCATCTTATATGTTTTCATCTCAGGGCAATTGAATCTGATCAACTGAAGCCAAAGTGTCTCCATAGAATCAGTATTTTGGTAGTCGTCCTTAAACATACAGTAAGGGGTAAACAGTTTTTACCACAGTCTTCGTAAGATCTATCAACTGCCTTGTGCATAACTTTCCATTAACTGAACAGGCTGTCCCATGATTTTCTATTAGGGATAATTGATCGTCCTTAGTAACATCACAAATGTTATGTATCTGAGGAACATTTTTCAAAAAGACAGACTCATTCCTGTCAGGTTGTTAATGTTTTTTTTTTATATTCCATTCTGATGTCTCAGTTTCAATATCAGGGGACCTATTTAAAAAAAACAACAAATCAATTTCTTATTTTATACGCAGTCTAGTCCAAACAGAATGAAACAGTTTGTACTGATATAAGTTGAGCACCTTCAGTATGGGTATCATGTGGCCACATTCTTCATAAACAAGTTAAAAAAAACTGTAAATCTGAAAGGGACTTAAAATCAAGTCTGCTTTTGGAAATACAACCACACATGACATGAGCTACTGTATGAACATCGAGTCTCCACTGTTAGTGAGTTTTGGTGACTTCATGCGGAGCCGTTACATACCCCCAAGTCGACAGGCAGCTGAATACAGCTTAACTGCCCATGCATATCTTCCTTCTTGGTAATTTCCTGAAGTAAAAATGTTGTATTTTTTATGGCAAATATAGGTAAGGCACAAAACCAGGTAATCAGAGATCCACAGTTCTTTTGAATGGACAGCAAAAAAAAAAAAACTTTCTAATGAGGAGTGTGAGTGGAAGTTGATAAAATGATGAGCCTTTTATCATATAGTCATTATGTAATTTTTATTTGTGAGAACAAAAAAAAACGAATCAGCTAATATACAACATAGTTCAGGTGGGTAGCTGCGTCAGCATGCGTAGGCTACAAAGGAACAAGTAATAGGTTTATTCCATGCTGAAAAAAAGAAGAAAGAGAACACAACGTTTCGGCCGTGGAGCCTTCTTCACACCTGAAGAAG